CAAACACACAACACACGCACATACGAACATAACTGTTCACACATGCCCCCTCCCCCCCCCCCTCTGTTGCTCGTCAGCGACGTTGCGCGGTGTCACCTGGTCCAGGAACATGGTGCAGACGTCGCGCGGATATGAGCAGCGCGGGCAGCAGTCATACATCGGCGTGGCCAACGTCGTGTCGCCCGAGCACGTCGGCAGCTCTCCGCACGACGCCTGCACACAACAAAAGGTGTGTGTGTGTGTGTGTGTGTGTGTGTTGAAGCGTGAGCGCAAGCGAGTGTGCATCATAAGTACGGTAAGTGCTTCTTCCACGACCACGACCACCACATCACCACCACCACGTCACGTTTCGACCACGGCCACTCACGTGCTCGCAGCCCATCTCGGCACGCGTTGGGGGCCGCTGTCGGTGCACGTGGTGGGAAATGCGGTCCAGCGTCTCCCGGTTCACGCCGTCAATGCACGTCTCCTCCTCGTAGTCAAACTCGCAGCCTGCCTGCATGCATTTAAACGGCGTTTCGTAGGTGTGGCATGGGGCACGCTGCCCCTTGTCCATGCACACGTGCCTGTAGAAATCACAGCCGGCGTTTAGGCAAGACTCCCGCTCCGCAAAGCGATTGCACGGGATCTCCTCGTCCTTGCCAACACATGCGCGCAGCTGTGCACGTGTGTGTATGTGTACGCGTGTACGAGTGTGTGTACACGTGTGTGAGAGTGTGTGTACACGTGTGTGTGTGTGTGTATGTGTGGTTGCATGAGTGTGTTTGCATGTGAACGTGAGAAGAGAATCTGATCATAACCAAGGCCAGCAACTTGACAAACTCACACACATACACACGCACACATACTGTCTCTCACATGTACAAACAAATAAGCGTCCAATCTAACAACCACCACCACCACCACCAACAACAACAACAACAACACTGCTCCCTCCCGTCTCTCCATCATGCTTCCTCCATCTCCGACACCAAGGCACTGACGTGGTTGTCGTATCTGCAGTGTTGGGCGGCGTGGCAACCCTCGCTGTCAAAGAACCGACTGCACGGCACAGTGGCACCTGGTCATGCATGAATGAGTGGAACAGAGCGTGAGGAGGTGGGGGAGGGGTGAGGGTTGAGAGTGGAGCTTGTGATGATACTTAGTGCGACACTGAGCCTGCACGCAAACCGATGTCAAAACACACACACACACACACACACACACACACACACACACACACACACACACACACACACACACACACACACACACACACGACACACACACACACACACACACACACACACACACACACACACACACACACACACACACACACACACACAAACACACACACACACACTAACACACGTACACACACACATACACACACACACGCACACACATACACACACACACACACACGCCGAGGACGGACCTTTGGTGTGGCAGGCGTTTGCACCGCGCGTGTATTCGCACGTTGGATCGCGCTCGCATGTGCGGCGGGACGAGTGCCGGAAGCACGGGACAGGCACGTCTGACACGCGGACGGGAAGGTGGCGTGGTGGTAGTGTGAAGGTTGGTGGTGGGATGAAGATATCGACTTAGCACGCAACCTGTGCACAATCACAATCACAATCACACACACACACACACACACACACACACACACACACACACACACACACACACACACACACACACACACACACACACACACGCACGCACATATATCAGTCACCTTTGTGCTTGCAGTAGTTGAAGTCCTTCATCCATTCGCAGTTTGGCTGTGCGCGGCAGGCGTCCTCCACGTGCACGTGGTCACATGCATCCTTCAAGACTATGGAGAGCGGGGGAACCGGAAGAAATCAACACACAGACAGGAGCGGGAAGGAGGATTGTGTGAGATGTGAACAGTGCGGTATGAGGCGGATAGGAGGCGGATAGGAGGACGCAGAAGTAGTGTGATTGATGAGATTGATGAGTGCTTGCTCGAGAGAGTCATACACACACACACGCACACACACACACACACACACACACACACACACACGCACATGCGCGCAACGACACACAACGAACCATCGTGGATGCACTGGCTGGTGGTGTCGTCCCAGTGACACTCGGAGCGGCTTCTGCAGGTGTCGGCTGAGGAGAAGAAGTGGCACCTCAGATCATCACTGCCGATGCACAGCCCGGCCTCCTCCAACCACACTGCACCAGTCACAAGCAGTAAGTTGCGACAAGCGTCAGACATATCATATCAGTGCACATGCTGCTGCTGATGGTGTTGCTGTTGTTGGTGGGTATGATGATGGGGTTGATGGTGACAATGGTTGTGTGCGTGTGTGTGTGTGTGTGTGCGTGCGTGTGTGTGTGCGTGTGTGTATGTATATACATATGCAGTGTGTGTGTGTTCCAGAAACATTTGCTGCCTTGCAGCACGTCCACCAACGTACAGCACGAACAACAACGTACGGCAGTTGTCTGCTGGTTCGCACTCCTTCTTTCCCAAGGAGTGGCATGGCAGCTGTCCTTCCTCATGGCACAGGTGAAGCTCAGTGTTGAAGGCGCACCCTGGCTGCTTCTGGCACGCCTGTGCCGTCTCACGGTAGTGGCAGGGCGCCGGCTCCCCTGTGACATGTGTTTGTGTGGCGGTGGTGGTGGTGGAGGAGGAGGAGAGGGGGGACAAGGGAACGAAGCGTGAGGCGGTGCGCATGAATGTGAGCAGGGGGAGGGAATGAGGATAAACAGGGGTAAGCCGACCGTTAGTCACCCCGCTTCACAACACACGCGCACACGCAAGTACGCATGCACACGATGTACACCTTTGGATGTGCAGATGCCAAGGTCGCCGTGGTAGTCACAGGCTGGGTCTGCCTTGCATGATTGCTCGTCGCCGTGAAACTTGCATGGGTGGCTGCCCCCTTTTTCATGACACGCATGACGGAACTCACTCCACTCACACTCGGGCATCAACACGCACTGTGAATTGTTACCATCAACGGGTACACCAGCACACGACCACACAAACAACCAACCAAGGTCAGTGAGTGAGGAAGGCGGCAGCAAGACGAACAAGACGAAAAAGAACAACAAGCATAGGAATCAATCGCACAAACGCACACGATCAAGCACACACATACACACACTCTCACACACACACACACACACTCTCTCTCTCTCTCACATACACATACACACTCACCGCTTGGTGGCCTTGGATGTCATGACACGGGATGACAGCGCTGGCAGCGTGAACCGCCACCACCAGCGTCAGCGCCAACACTCGAAGGACCGCACCACCGCTGTGCGTCATCGTCTCTTGTTTGTTTGTTGCCGTTGTGCTGCCGTGGCAAATACTACATTTTATGATGTTGTTAACCACAGTTGTCTTCGCCACTCCGTTGGTGGTCCTCCCACCACTCCTGGCCTTGTGCCGAAAGTTTGTTCATGCTTTTATCTATTTTTCCAGCCACGCGATCGCCTCGCTCCTGCTTTATTTTTTATTTTCCTCTGTTTTGTTTGTTTTGCAGGCGTTGGCGTTTTGGTTTGTGCTACTTCTTCCTTTCTTCGCCTTTCCTTTCCTTCCTCCTCTCTTTCTCTTTCCTTCTTTCGTTCTTTCCTTTTCTCGCGTCCCTTCCTCCTCCTCCTCTTCTCTCAAAGGAGTCAAGAAGCAACTATGCCACGCTCGAGCTGCTGCGCGGCTGCCACCGTCGCGTCCTCTGTGGTCGTCATGTTCTTGCTCTGCGTCATCACTTTGGCACCGCTGCTCCTGCATCCCGCCGCGGCAGCATGGCAGCAGGTGAGCGTCGTCGCAATGCGACATCTGTGTTGTTAGTGCTGTTGTGTTGCTTTGTCTGGGTTGCGTTCGTTTTCCAAAACAAGACTCCTTCGTTCTCGAGTCGCTCCCTTCGTCTTGGAGGTTCACATCCTCATTCCATGACACTCGTCTCCCCCCACCTCGCTTTCTCCTCTCTCCTTACAGCAGGAACCCGCCACCAATCACCTCTGTGCACGAGCATACCAGGAACTTGAGCAACTCCAACCAAACCATCTGCCTTTGCAAGCGCGCAGCGCCAACACCACCGTCCTCTATGAGATTCTCGAACGCTTTGGCTGCACACAACAACAACAACAACAACAACAACAACAACAACAACAACAACAACAACAACAACAACAACAACGACAACAACAACAACAACAACAACAACAACAACAACAACTTAAACAACAACTTAAACAACAACAACAACAACAACAACAACAACAACAACAACAACAACAACAACTTAAACAACAACAACTTAAACAAGCGCACACACAGATGCCTGGTGTCACAATTGGGCAAGCCAGCACAAACCCGGAGCCCTCAATGAATACGGGCGTGGTGGCCAACCTACAAACACCAGACACGCCAGAACCATTCCATCAGCCACCCACAGGAGTGTCTGTGTCTGCGGTGCGGCGCGACGTGCATGAGGAGGAGCTTCAAGAGGCCACATGCGACATCTTCACCGTCTTTGGAAGTCATGGGTGCCGGGAAGCTGCCACAGCTACGGCGCTGACCATCCGCGTGCCAGGGCGCTTCGATCAAGACACCCTGGACAACAAAACCCTGCAAGCCAACTTCGGCCCCAACGTGGAGAGAGTGGAGGTGCGCACCTCCAATAACGATCCCGCAACCATTCGCACAAGCGTCCTTCGCTGGCTGTTCGGGCCAGAGCACCGCGGCACGAACACATGGCCTCTCCTGCAGACCGTGACTGTGCGACACCTCGAGACATTCGAGCTGGACTTGGACGTGTTTGCGGGCCTACAACGCCTGCGCTCGCTCACCTTCGCCGATAGCGAAATCCACGACGCAACCAGCGGTAACTCATCAGCCCGCATTGCGTCTCAGCTGAAGACCTTAACCCTGGCGCACTGCGAGCTCACGCGCATCAACGCGGCGCTGCTGGACCGCATGTCCAGCCTAGAAACACTTGACCTCAGCAACAACCTGATCCGGCGCATTGACGCTGACACCTTTTCCGCCCTCTCATCCCTGCAAAAGCTCGAGCTGAGCGACAACCTCATCAGTCATATTGCAGACCGTGCGTTCCAAGCCCTGGGCAACCTGACGGAATTCCATCTCGATGACAATGATCTCACAACGTTGACGCCAAGCCTGTTTTGTGGCCTGTCTCGTCTCGAGCAGCTTGACTTGGACCACGTCCCCGTCTCAATCATCCTGCGCGGCACGTTTGACCACATGCCCAACCTCAGGGAGCTTGAGATGAGTGGCATGGGCCTGGCCTCAGTTTTACCAGACCTCTTCTCCAACAACCTGCAACTGCAAGGGCTTGATCTGAGCAACAACATCTTGCAGTTCCTCTCAGCGAACCTCTTGTCGCACCTCACCGGCTTGACTCACCTGCGCCTCGACCACAACCAGCTCGAAACCATCCCGCCTGGCCTCTTCACGGACCTGACAGAGCTGGACTTGCTCTTTCTCAACGACAACAAGCTGACGGAGCTGGCATCCAACGTGTTCGCCGACAATACAGGCCTGACCAGACTCAACCTGCAACGCAACCGGCTCACTTTCCTTCCCCAAACGCTGCTCAAGCCCGTGACACGCTCGCTCACGCACCTGTTCCTCGGCCAGAACAGGCTGTCCACCATCGACCAGGCAATTCAAGGCCTGTCCACGCTGCAGGCGTTGTTCGCCCCCTCCAACAAGCTCGAAAGCTTCACGGGACGCGGCTTGGCCATGCTGACAGAGCTGGATCTCAGCAACAACCCGCTGCGGTGGCTGCCCCAGTTCCCCGCCAGCGAGATGCTGGCCACGTTGCGGATCCAGAACCACGCCATCACCACGCTTGATCTCACCCCTCTCTTGAACCTCAAGGCCCTCGAGGCCTTAGATGTGTCCACGTCTCCCAAAGTGAAAGCAAAGGCGACAGTGGACCGCAACGTCCTGGTTTCACTCGCAGCAACAACAACAGCAGCAGCAGCAGCAGCCACAGCAGCAGCAGCCACAGCTACAGCAGCCACAGCTACAGCAGCCACAGCTACAGCAGCCACAGCTACAGGAACGGCTGCGTCTGAAGGGTCGCAGGAGTACCATTCTCTCGTCGCCCTGAGCGCACGCAACGTGGACATGTCCCACGTGTTTGGTGTCGTGCGTGATGAGGACCACGCGGATGCACGCAGATCCTCACACGCCCCCGCGTTTCCTCTGCGCGTGGCGCTGGAAAAGCTGTATCTGGGCTGGCCACACATGGACGAGGCGAGCATTCCCATCCACGTGCTGTGCGACATGATGGCAGATGAAGCAAGGGAACTCGGCCTTGTTGGCACGGCTTATGAAACTATCACCCTCTGCCACAGAACGGAGTTGGACAGCGTGTTCCTCCAGGACAACGTTCATCTCGAAAACCTAAACATCCCGACCGACCACCTGGCCCAGCTCAACGTCTCCAACAGCAAGCGCCTGTGGACGCTGTCAGCGCCCGTCATCGAGGTGCTGGATGTGTCTGGCACAAACCTGCCGCCAACATCGTCCTTCTGTGACCAGTGGGGCACGACCATGCTGTTTGCACGCAACATGCACAACGATGGCTTCAACTCCGCCGCATCTGTGAGGCAGCTGCTGCGAGAATGCCTCCTCAAGGCCGACACCGTCGATCTCTCGCACAACAAGTGGCTTAACCACCCCACCGACATTGCCAGCGTGACTGGCCAGACCACCGTGCTCTCCACCAGCATCTTCAAGACAGCAGACCTCACCGTCGAACTCCCTTCCCGCACCCTCCCACCTGCCGTCCACCTCCGCAACGGCCCAGTCACGTGCCAGCTCGTGCTGCAGAACCAGCTGCTGCGACTTGCCAGCAACTTTGAGACGGTGTCCACGGAGCTCACCTTCCACTTTGAGTGCGGGTGCGCAGTTGGATTCAACATTGCGCCAGACGGCAGCTGTGTTCCCGCCCTACCCTCCATCTTCCTCACAGCCGAGTTTGCCATGATTGTTGGCGTGGTGTTCACGCTGTTCCTCATTCCCATGAGCGTGTGGTTTTACCGCCGCCACCGCCGCTACCGTGGCCTCAGCAAGCGTGTCGACTTGCAGGACCAGCTGCTCATGGAGCGAGATGAGGAGGTGATGGCGCTGAAGAAGGCGTGGGAGATTGAGTACGATGAGCTGAGGATGATCAAGCGGGTGGCTGCGGGGGCGTTTGGTGTGGTGTTCAAGGCAGAGTGGGACACGGTGACGGTAGCCGTCAAAGTGCTACAGCAAGGGGTGATGATGTTTGACGACAGCATGGTGGTTGAGTTTGAGAAGGAGGTGGAGTTCCTGCAGCGGACGCGGCACCCGAATGTGGTGCGGTTCTTTGGCGCGGGCACGGATCCCAACGGCAGCCCGTTCCTGGTGCTGGAGTTTGTGGCGATGGGGTCACTCAAGGATCTGTTGAGTAAGGACATTGGCAAGGTGCTGCTGGAAGTGCGCGCAGCTGCAGCTGCACAAGCGGCCAAAGAGCAACACGGCGATCGCCCCCTCATCACCACGACCGACGTGCTTGCCGATGATGTGACGCTGGTCAACACGGGCGGTCCAGACACGACCGGTCGCCGAAGCCTTCACATGATGATGACCACGTGGGAGTTGAAGCTGCAGCTCCTGCGCGACGTCGCGAGTGGGATGGCCTTTATCCACAGCCTCGACCAGATGCACCGGTGAGATTGGTGTGCGTGCGTGCTGAGTGTGTTGTTCGTACGTGTGTGTACGTGTGTGTGCTTGTGCTTGCAGGCACTGGTTTTCTTCTTCTGCTCAACACACCCGCACTCACCCAATGACTACTACGCACACCACCTTCACCACGAACAGCGATTTGAAGAGCGGCAACGTGCTCGTGTCTGTCAACTTGCGCGCCAAAATCACGGATTTCGGATCCATCCGCCAGTGCCTGACGTCACAACCGCGTGTTGAAGCGACATCAAGTTCCTCGTTCTCGACAGATTCGCAGTACACGCAACAGAGGGGGCTGGCAACGACAACAGACATGTCGCTGACAGCTGGCGTGGGCACGCCCCTGTACATGGCGCCAGAGGCACTCACGGGCGACAAGTACAGCTTTGAAGCAGACATCTTCAGCTTTGGCGTGCTCATGTGGGAGGTGGCGACACAGCGACCACCGGATTTGATTGAGCAGGAGAAGGGGAGTGACTTCAGGGGACCGTTGTTGGCCACACTCGTTCGACTCTTGGGAGAAGGCAAACGCCTGCGCTTCACTGGTGTGTATGAGCTCTATGTGTGTGCGTGCGTGCATGTGTGTCCGTGTGTGTATGTGTATGTATGTATGTGCGTGCGTGCGTGCGTGTGTGTGTGTCTGTATCTGTATGTGTGTGTGTGTGTGTGCGTAAGTGTGCATGAACTCGTCGTGTGTGGGTGTATGTCTTTGTTTTGGTGTCCCTGTGTCTCACATGTCGCATGTCCCACCCTCCTCTCTTCCTCCCATTGCAGCCGAGGACGAAGCTACGGTGCCCGAATGGTACAAGAATCTCATCAAGCTTTGTGTCGCCGAGGACCCACAAGAGCGACCCAGCTTCTCCCAGCTCTGCACGCATCACCTCAGCATGTCGTGATGTCACAACAGCACTGTGTGTGTATGTGCGTATGTGTGTGTGTGTGTGTGTGTTTGTCTGTGTGTGTGTCCGCATCGCACGTGGTGACACACACCATGTCGGAATGCACACTGCATCTTTCTGTGAGTTAGCGTGTTGGAGAAGAAGAGAGAGGGAGAGGTTAAAACGTCGGAGCGGCTTGAGTTGTCGCCTCATCTTACACTGGGTGGCACACCACCTTCGTAGCCCTGTGTGTGTGTGTGTGTGTGTGTGTGTGTGTGTGTGTGTGTGTGTGTGTGTGTGTGTGTGTGTGTGTGTGTGTGTGTGTCCGGATTGCTGCTGGTGCATAGCTTTGTGGGTGTGTTCTCTGTTGTGGAAGAACTGTGTCCTTCTGCGTGCGATGCGTGCCACTGCGCACAACGTTACATTAGACATGATAGCAGACGAAAATCACCGAACTAACAGACCGAGCTACACTCTGAACAGCACACTGACCCGGACAAAAACCAGCGCATGGGCATGTGAAGTGTCATCACAGGCGAGTCACAAAGAGGCGGACGAATAACAGCGTGGTAAGTAACACTTCACAAACACGAATACATCGCGCAAGCAAGCAAGCAAACGTCACGAAAACATAACAAGTGGAAGAAGTAGTTGGAGGTGTATCGTCTTGATGCAGATGTAAGTTTCTCCACAAGTTTCTCCACTCCATCAAGCTCAAGTTCTGCCAACGCACAAAGTCACTTGTGCACTCTCTGCTTTCACCTCACACCACCACCACCACCACCACCACAGGGACCCCTCACATCATCATCATCATCATCATCATCATCATCATCATCAGGGTTGTGCTCTGAAAGCGCCGCCACCACCGCTCATCTGCTGTGGCTGTTGCTGCTGGTGCTGTTGCTGCTGGGGCCCGAGTCCAGCAGGGTAGGGCGTCAGCAGCTCTGCACGCTGCACAGGTGGGTAGTACGCAACGCCAAGCTTGTCGCACGCAGCCTGCGATTGGTGTGTTGGAACGAAGGGGAGGGGACGCAATGAGGGTGTGGTGAACTTACTGTGTGACACTGGCTGTCGTTCACGAGTTGAGTACAGTGTAAATGCACACGTGAACACACACACACACATACATACACACACACACACACGTGCACACAGACACACACGTGCACACACGTGCACACGCACGCATGCATGCATGTCGTACCCTGAGGTGTTTGAGGAGGATGGAGCGGCGGAAGACGTGTTCACCATTCTGCCAGTTTGTGCGATGTGCGTAGTACATCGCAATCTGCAGACAGCGGCAAAGTGCAGGTAACATGGTGTTAGTGATTGTGAGCGTGAGCGTGGCGACGGCAGATGCTGGGGCAAGAAAGACAAGGCAGGAGTCGTCGTTCAAATGCACGCACAGACACACAGATGTACATGCACGCACACGCACGCACACACACACGCACACAGATGCATACATGCACACGCACAGACACACAGATGTACATGCACGCACACGCACACACACACACACATACACGCATACACGCACACACATACACACATATATGCGCACACGTGCGCCAACTGACCGTGAGTCTGCTCATATCCTCGAGCTGCGAGAGGAGGAAGAAGCTGTTGCTCTCATCAAAGTCAATTGGGTGATCGCGCAGACATTGCCTGGTGGTGGTGGTGGAGGGGTGGAGGTGAGTACGTGATGGTGTTGACGATGACGAAACATGATGGTGGTGTTGGTTGGGTGGCACGTGAGTGGCATTGAAACCGCAAGCGCAAAGTGTTGGTGTAGCCGCACACTGCCGCTACAAGCACACGAGTATACGTGTACACATGTGAACGCACGCATAAACAGACACACACACACACGCACGCACGCATAAACAGAAGCACACACACACACACGCTTGCATACACACACACGCGCGCGCGCGTTTTTGCCACCCTCTCCTTGCCCAGGCCATGTGCAGCACCTGTATGACTCCTCGAGCGCATCGAGCTTCGATGTCGGCGTGCGGTAGTCGACATTGAGGATCATCTCATCCCACATCATCCCAGACCGCTGGATGTTGTAAATCTCCTGCAGGGGCATGGCATTGTGTGTGTTGTGTGTTATGTGCGTGTGAGGCATTGTGTGTGTGTGTGTGTTATGTGCGTGTGAGGCATTGTGTGTTTGTGTGTGTGTGTGTGTGTGTGTGTGTGTGTGTGTGTGTGTGTGTGTGTGTGTGTGTGTGTGTGTGTGTGTGCGCGTGCGTGAGGGGTGTGGCTGTAATCATGACTAGCGCACAACAATACTCTTCGACACACACACATACACACATGCAGACGTTCAGTACCTTTTGGTAGAGGATGTGGTTTGGAATTGTGGTGACGGTGCCGTTCCAGTGCGTGAATGTCGTATTGAGGAGCTCCATCTTCTGCACATACAGCGCAGGCTGGCATGCAGTGCACACACGCACACATATCCACAAAAAAAGATTCGGCAACGTTGGAAGGGTTGAGCAGGCGAGATTGAGGAGGCGGCGCAGCACACACATGCACACACGGACACACATATGCACACATGCATACATGCACACACACGTATGCATGCATGCACACACACATGCGCGACAAGCCACTCAGTCGCCCACTCCTCCGCGCAGGCTACATTCTTCCACTCATCGACTCATGCAACGCAACCATGTACGGGTGCATCTCTCGACGACTCACAGCAACGCCGCCAATCTGCACGCGGTCGCCGCTGTCAAACGGGTGCCGGCTGAACAGAAACACAAAGGAGTTGAACGTGTGTTTGCACGTGTCCGCAAACACAAATGACAGCGCAAGGATCGTCGTGCCTATTTGGCAAACACAAGCAGAGGGAGGGAGGAAGCGAGGGAGTGTGAATGAGTGCTGGGTGAAGGGGGAGGGGGAGGAAGAGTGGTGTTTGTGTGTGATGACTTTCGTTTCTGCGCTTGCCTTCAGATACATACACAGACACACACATACACAGACACACACAGACACACACAGACACACACACACATACACAGACACACACATACACACACACACACACACACACACGCACACACACACACACACACACACACACACACGCACATCAACCATACCTGCGGTGACAGTGATTTCGGAGAATTCGCCCGAGCTGAAGACGACAATGAGCGAGAGAAAGAGGACAATGGCCTGGACATATGCCAGGAACGTGTCGATGGCGGTGATGATGGAATCGAGGTCCGAGAGCGTGTTTGACAGGTTTTTGCGCTCGAGGAAGAGCTCCGTGCAGCGGGACATGATGTGCTGTCGTGACAACTCCTTCACGCCCGTCGGGTCAAGCAGTGGATCAACCTATTGAGGACAGGTGGAGGGTAAGGAGGAAGGGGAAGGGAGAGGGGTGTTGAGTTGCGGAGGATGATGGGATGCAAGTAGGGAAGAGTGCATGAGAGTGCACGTGTGGTCAGGCAGACGGGACAGGCAGGTGGATGCACAGAGAGACAGGTGGCCAGACAGGCACAGCTACCCACAGCCACCCACAGCCACAGACACACAGCCACAGACACAGACACACACAGACACACACACACATACACAGACACACAGACACAGACACAGACACACACACACACACACACAGACAGACACAGACACACACACACACACACAGACACACACACAACACCCTCCCCCTTCCCTTCATCCCACCACCCCCACCCCCCAGCAGCACCTGTGCCTGCGCCTTTGGGTGGTGGGAGAGGGCCTGCTTGAGCAGCGATGCGGGTAGCGTGTCCAGCGGCTTATCAAGCTTCGCACCGCCCACAAATTGCGTGTAAAACTCAAAGATGGTCGAGCCGAGCGCACGTGCGTCCTACATGGCGCAGGGAGGCAGCGAAAGCATACAGGTTGCAGATGGGATGTGTGTGTGTGTGTGTGTGTGTGTGTGAGGGGGGGGGGGAATTGTGGGATTTGTGCGTGAAACTGTGCATATGTGTGTGTGTGTGTGTGTGTGTGTGTGTGTGTGTGCACAAGTCCGACAAAGCAAGAAACATTGCGTAACAAGATGGAAGGTGGTCATGGTGATTCGGAACGAATAGACACACAATAACACATGGAGGTAATGACTGAAGAGATGTGAGAAAGCACATGTTCCTGTCGTCTGTAACAACATCACATGTGCCACTACTACATGTGCAGTTCACGACACCTTGAAAGTTCGGATTGCCTTCTGACGTTTGCACACCCACAACGGCTCACGTTGGATCTGAACAAAACAGTGTGAGCAAGAGGGTGTGAGGGTGGGATGTAATACGTGCGAGAAGGCGCAGGGTACCGTGCGTGAGATGCGCTGATTAGAGCGTGATAATCGAAGCGAACGAAGCAGCAAACACACACACACACACACACACAAAGACACACACACAAAGACACAGACACACACAGACACACACACACACAGACACACACACACACACACACACACAAAGACACAGACACACACAGACACACACACCGCGTTTGCGTCGAGGAAGAGTTTGTCGAGATCCAACTCATGGAGAGAAACCTTTGAGGGTATACGTTCCTGCACCATCACACCTGACGTTCACAAGCGTGCAGACATGTACGCACAATATGGCCATTGAGTGTCGTGAAGAGGCGCGCGGGAGCCGTGGAGGTTATGCAGTCGATGCAGACGCCAAAGGACGTCAGCACACACACGCACACACACACACACACACACAAAGCAAACGCAGAAGCCACACACGCACACACACACACACACACACACAACGACACACACACACACACACACACACACACACACACACACACACAAGCACACACAAGCACAGGCGAGCGCGCTTGCAGGCAAGACGGCAAACCAATCAACCAAACCATGCACATTCATGTTTCATTTCGGTTCACACCTGGAATGCCCAATGTGCGGAACAAATTGTCTGTTTCCTGCGACTCATTGAGCGAATCCCTGTCTTCATCACGCACGGGAGATGTCGCACCAGCGCCGTGTCGCTGCTGTTGTTGTTGCTGTTGTTGTTGTTGTTGTTGTTGTTGTTGTTGCTGTTGTTGTTGCTGTTGTTGGGGGAGTGTGGACGACAGCACGGCCTCTGACTGCGACACGTGCGTCAGCGTATGATTATTTCGTCGCTGCTGTTGTTGTTGCTGCTGTTGCATCTTCATCTGCTGCTTTTGTTGCGCCCGCTCACGATCGGCGCGCATCTGAAAGTACAGACGGCAATGTGGCGACGTGGTGATGTGGTGGGTGATTGGATGGTGGGTTGAGCGTCGTTGGCGTGGTTAGTATTTGACTGAGCGTGGTTGGTCGTGCGTAATGTGGGCGAAGAAGACAGCCAAGACAACCCAAGCACACGCATGCGAGCATCAAGTAAGCCTGGCCATCAGTACCCATCGCCATGACACACCATCACATCGCATCGCATCACCCTGGTCATCAACGCTACCTTGTCGACGGCCTTGCGCCAAAGAATCCCAGGTCGCCGCACAACTTCGCCAGCACCGCCACCTGCACACACAAGAGCGAAAGCGTGAGCTGGCTCATCCGTGCAGTCATAGCTTGAGCTGCACACACACACACGCACACACAAACAAACACACACATGACCTTGTGGTGGGGGCTGTTGACCCGACTGTTGCTGCTGCTTCCTGCTGGTGGCGTGTCCACCGGGCATTTGAAACGTGACCACACGCGTGTGTCGTCGGGGTCGCTTCTTGGCCGTGCGGTGCTTCTGTGTCAGCAGCCTGCAGTGAGGTGTGATGAGAGTGGTGGTGGTGGTGAGGAGGAGGAGGAGGAGGAGGAGGAGGAGGAGGAGGAGGAGGAGGAGGAGGAGGAGGAGGAGGAGAACGGGCGGTTAGAACACGAGAAAGCATGTGCCAAACAAATGATGCCCCTGACGTCATCATGCCGCCGCCTCCTCAACGGCACAAACACACGCACACACACGCACGCACACATGCACACACATGTACACACACATACAGGAACTGTGTACTTTGGCGGGATGGGCCGGGAGAGGAGGGTGAGCAGCTGCTCGGCCTTGACGACCTGACGCACGCGCTGATGATAGCTCTCGGCACGGCGCTGTTGGTGACGGGGAGGGGGAGGGGTTGATGGATTGAGTGAGTGGTAGGGTTATTGGGTTCGAGTAAGAGTGGTAGTGTGATATGTGGCAGTGGTGGTGGTGGTGAACATGATGGTGGTGAACATGATGGTAGAGGAGAAAGATACCCAATACAAACGTGCGAAAAGCAGTGCCTCAGCATCGACTCACACACCATCAAACAACGTGAAGCAACACCCCCTTCATCTCTCCCGTCACCACCTTCACCACCTTCAACCCTCCACCACCCCCACCGCCATCCACAATTCCCGCTGTTTGCTCACCTTGAGCGCGACGGACTTGTTGACGTACTGGCGCACGATTCCAAACGCCTCGACTACAATGACACAGGTGATGACGCGCGCCACCCACCACAGCTGCCCGCGTGTGCGAATGCCGCGACCGGACGCGCGCGCCGGTGGGAAGAAGTCAAGCGTAAACACCACCTCCCACGCCGCAAGCGCACACACGCTCCACAAAAACCGGACAACGGCTGTGCGCATGGTGCGAATGTAGTAGGAGAGGACTTGGAAGCGGTGCGAGCGACGCATGAAGAAGAGGAGACAGCGCGACAACACGTGCACCAGCACCCACAGCACGGGGATGAGGACGATGAGCGAGTCCACAAAGATGGCCCATGCAGCAACGGACGCGGTGGCGATGGTGGTGTTGGGGTGGAACACGCGGAACAGCACACCAACGGCAGCCACGATGATGAACAGCACGATGCAGAGTGTCAGCCGCCAGTGTTCGACCAGCCACGGCTCCTCCCCTTCCTCCTCCTCGTCTTCGTCCTGTTGCTGCTTTTCCTTCTCCTTCTCCTTTTCCTTGTCCTTTTCCGTGTCCTTGTCCTTGCTCTTTTTGTTGGTGTCGTTGTCAGCACTGTCACTGTTGCCACCACCACCGCCACCGCTGCTGCCGCCAGTGCGCTTGTCCTTCGTGTCGTGCATATCCCGCTCACGCTTTGCCGCAGACTCCTGCCGCTGCATGCTCTTCTTCGTGCGCTCGCTCACGGACACCTGCACCTGCCCCTCCCTGTTCCGCGCCTTGGACCAGGGGGCCGCCCTTCCCGCCACTGCGTGCTCCTTCTGCTGCTCCGGCCGCCCAATGCGCACGTGCGTGTGCGCGTGTGCACCCGTGTCCGGGTCCATATCTGCGTGTGTGCCAGCTGGTTGGATGGCAGGTGTGGCCCGCCGCGCTGTTGGTGATGGCTTGAGTGACGACTTGACCGGGGCTGTTGTTGTCATTCCTGCTGCTGCTGTTGCGGTTGTTGTTGATGGTGGTGGAGGCGAGGTGTGCAGGTCATCGCCAACTGGACTTGTCGGTGCGCTGGCGCTGCCCATTCGCCACTGCACCGCCTGCCAGTCTCCACCACCACCACCACCACCACCACCACCACCACTGTCACCATTGTAAGCGCCTTCGTTCTTCAACCCCACCGTAACGGGCGTGGTGGGTGCCGGTGATGGGCTGCCGTTTGGCGTTGCGCTGGCAAACTCGCGTTCCGCCCACTTCTCTGCGACGGTGAGCGGCGAGTCCTCCCCATCCTCAAGGTCACCGCCGCTTGGGGTCATGCGTGGCGCCGATGCGTATCGTGGGTCTCCCTCGCTCGCAGCATCGTCAATGCCATAACCATCATCGTCGTCATATTCCTCGTTGTCGCTGTTGTTGGCGGTGTTGGGGACGCTCGCGCTCGCGTGGTGATGGCGGTGGTGGTCATGATCGTGATTAGCAATGAGGCAGGCCTCGCTTCGGCTCGGGGAGTGTGCGTTGCGGTCGTGACTGTAGTCGTACTCCTCAGCCTGGTTGTACGCTGCGTGCCCGCGAATGCGTGCGTGCGTGTATGCGTGGTCGGTGGCGTCCGGGTGGTAGTTGAGGTCGTTCAGGCTCTCTGCAGTAGCCATGACCGGAGTGTCTGCGATGGAAGTGCCGTTGGTGCTGTTGGTGCCATTGTTGGTGGTGGGGATTAGGCTTGTTGGGAATGTGTCTGTGTTGCTGTGGTGGCGCGCACTGAGGGGCTTCGGTGCCCAGGATGTCGCACGCGCACGGTCATGTGTCTTGGTTGACGCCGTGTGTGCCGCGTGTGCGGTGTGGGCAGTGGCGGGTGTTGTTGTTGCTGTTGCTGTTGTTGTTGTTGTTGTTGTTGTTGTTGTTGCGGCTCTTGGCGGTGATGTGGAGGAAGTGGATGAGGAGGATGTGGGGGAAGAAGAAAACGGCGGTGACGAGGCGGCTGCAATTTCAGCGGCAGTCAGCGTGTGCCTGAGTTTGGAGAGCGCTGCTGCCGTTGATGGCGTTGTTGGGGTGAGGCGTCGCCCGCGCCGGCCCCGCTCCAACGCGGCGTCGAACGCCGCTTCCCCGTCATCGTCGTCGTCGTCGTCGTCGTCGTCATCGGCACCGTTGGCAATGGTGTGGCGCGGCGGTGGTGGGCGAGAAGCGGTGCTCGGTGCTGGCGCCGACGCGTCCGAGGGAGAAAAGTCGATGGTGGTGGCGGTGCTGCTGGCGGCGGTGGTTGCTTGTGATTGGGAAGACATGGTAACGTGTGTGGCACCTTCTGTTTATGTGTGGTGTGTGTGTGTGTGTGTGTGTGTGTGTGGTTGGTTGTTGTTGTTGTTGTTGTTGTTGTTGTTGTTGTTGTTGTTGTTGTTGTTGTTGTTGTTGTTGTTGTTGTTGTGTGCCGGAGGAGGAATTGAGTTGTTGGCTTCTAATCGGGACGTTAAAGGGGGTAGGGGAGTATACCGGACCGCAGTTGCTTAAAATTGAGGTGATGG